GCTAAATTCCACAAATTATGTGCTCTAAGCTGATGAGCTTCATTCTTAACTCTCTAAATTCTTATTCCAGCTGTACATAGGATTTTAAAAATTAGAAATCATATTCTGAGATGCTCCAATGGGAATTACAAGCCATATCTACTTATTTCTTTCAACAGTAATTATTTCTTTTCCATAGGGAAGAAGAAAAATATTACAGTAGAAAAATGAAGTCTTTTTTAGGACTTCATCCTAATGCTCTTGCCTACTCGATGACCACCTTAGGCGCTGGAATGATGAACAGTATCTTCAATTTCTATTATGTTAAACTCTTTTTAAACAAGTACAAGATCTCAGAAGCAGCATTCCATCAAGGGCAGGTACAGTAAATATTGATGTAGTTATATTTGTTTTGTTTCCAAGTAGATCATATTTTTAAATTCAAAAGGAACAGCTTGTCACAAGAGATAGGGCATAAAAGTAGCAATACACTGTTGTAATCAGTAAAAATTCGACTTTGTAACCCAAATGCTGCTAGTTTGAAACTCAGCAGGAAACTTGTTTTTTGAGAGCAACTGTGGTGTAGTAGTGAAGGTGGTGGACTAGGAATGTGGAGACCCAGCTTCTAGTCCCCTGCTCAGCCATAGAAGATCCCTAGGGGACTTTGGGTCAGTCTCTCCCTCTCAGCCCAATCTACCTAACAGGGTTTTATGGGGAAAAATAGAAAGAGGGAACACTGTGTACTTCATCTTGTACTCCTGTTACAAAAGGTGTGATATAAGTGTGATCAATAAACTGTTGGGCTCTTACAATGGGAGAACTTCATTAGTCGTCACGGCTTATTTCCCAGATCTTTCAAATCTCTCTGGAAAAACATGTGTGAGTTTCTTTGATTTCTGTTATTTAATTCTTTTACACTTTACAACTTGTGCCATTTGTACAGCATAAGCAATTTGATGGTTTCAGCTGAGCTGTGTAAAATGGAAAGAAAACTTTCACTCTCACACCTGATGTTCATTCTCACCCAGCCAGGGAAACTCAACCCAGTAGCTAATCTGACAGCTGGAAAACCAAGGAGGATTAAAAACTAGTCCTTGCGTGCAAAAGAGAGGGCTGAGTCAGTTGAGAAAGAGGTGCAAAAAGATTTGAATATTGCTTCCATTGTAAAGCTTGCTCTTGAAACATCATAGTTTAGAATTCTTTGGTTATGGCTTCCTAACTTCGATAGAGAATTACTTATGGGGTATCCTTGGATTTTGTGAGTTCCGGTCTTGCTTGCTGGGTGAAGCCTGACCTGCTATATTTGTTCCTAGGTTGTTTTTATGATATGGAATGCCATCAATGATCCTCTCTTTGGGTATATTCAAGACAACTCCAAAGTGCCCTGCTGCTCCCGACGTCAGTTTTCTATTTTATATGGTGCTCCCTTGTACGCCCTGGCTTTCCTCCTTCCGTGGTTTCCTTGGAAACAATACGAAGAACACGACTGGCTCTGTGGGCTGCATCTTATTGTGGCTTTGTGCGCCTTTGATGGCCTGCTCACATTTGTCTTGCTGGCGCAGTGTGCCCTTTTTGCTGAAATCTCCACCAGACATGAAAGTCGCCTCCAGCTTATTAAGTACAACCAGGTTGCAAGCTTAGTTGGATCAACCAGCATCCTGTTCTGTGGTTTAATCTCTGCTAACATGGAACGCTTTGCCTATTTTCAAGCCTTCACCGTGCTAGTAGGAGTCATTGCAACTGCTTGCATGTGTTACACCGGCTTCTACAGCACTACTCAGTATGAGCAAAAGGAAATGTTGATGGAGGGGTTTGATCCAGAAAGCACCACGACCACTCTTTCTTGGTCTTCTGTGTTCTCCTTGACCTGCCAGATCTTGACTCAGAAGAACTTTTTGTTTTTTGTTATCATGAACTTTTTCCAAGTCTTCCACTTAGCCTTCTGCAACAATTTCATGATGATCTTTGCAGATAATCTCATCCCAAAGGGAGTTCTTTCATCCTCTGTCAGAAGTTTTATGTATGGAGCAGGTTTTATCTGTCCTCAGGTAGGCAGGAAACCGCTTGTTCTTTTTCTTATTTTTTTAAAAAATGTGTTGATTCCCAGCAGATTTAAGTTATACTTCTTGCTAGGAAAAATTAGGGATTATCTTGGAGAAAAACATCATGTTTTAAGATCAAAGATTTGGCACTACTGATTTCAGCCAAAATTGCTTGACTTTTATATATATGATTCAACTAATGGAGGAGGTTCTTCTCACCTGTTCCCAACACAAAATACAACTTGTTTGTATATATGTATATTATATGTACAACAGTAGAAATGTCTATATATTTGTTTTGAACACAGCATGTGCCAGAATATAATGAATAGTTTTCAACAAGTATGTTTGTGGAATTTTGTTTCCTCTTTTGATGACTCCATCATGACAAGAGGTAGGATTTGAGAGTTACCACTTCAGCTACAGCCCACCTGGCCTATTTGCTTTCAAAATATGGTTTCTCTCCCAATTAATTACTTAAAAAAAAAATCTAAATACAATTCAACTTTGGAGACAACTTACCAAAAACAGCTTTGCCATCTGTAAATGTTGTAAATATGGCGAGAATCAAATGTGAATGGGAAAGACACAGTTTTCAACCTTGCTTGGCAATAAATTCTTCAGGCCAGTATGATAGTGTTCATACTGAAATGTTTTAAATTATTAACAAATCTCTCTACAGACTTTTAAATAGACAAGAACTTTATTTCAGTCATTGACCAATAAAATTTAAATAGTCCACTAAGTGTGACACTTCCAAGTTAAACAGCCTTCTCTTATAACTTGATGAAGAGGCTGCTTAAATCTGAGTGCTTAAGTGCTCAGTGCAATGTTTCTCAACTTTGGAACTTTAAGATTTAACTTTAAGGAGGAAGAAAGCCCGGATGATCCGACTTCCCTGCGACCGCTGCTGGCCAAGTAGAGAAGATTAGTAATTGTAGAGAAATTAGTAATTGTTAATATATAAATGATGTTCTACGTTGCCCAGAGTCGCTTGTGCGAGATGGGCAGCCATATAAATATGATGTAGATACAAAATAAATAAATAAGATGGGTGGACTTCAACTCCCAGAATTCTGGGAGTT